TTAATGGAACAGATGAAGGAAAAATGTGGCATGTTAATGCAGTTTTACATATAAAAGCACTAAATTAAGAAGGCTGGAAGACTATAAACCCATTTTACAATACTGGAGTGAGGATGAGAGGAAGATATGGGACTGGGGAGAATGCTAAAATGGAATTTTCTCCGAAATATGTCTGTATTTTTTTCTGAGACAAGGTAGTTCAGGCTGGCCTCAAATTTGTAGTCAACTTACTGTCTAAGTCTCCTCAGTGCTGGGATTACAAGCATGAACCTCCCCTGCCAGGCCAGTGTTTCTACTTTTTCTTTTTTTCTGAGACAGGGTCTTGCTATGTGGTTTGGGCAGGGCCCAGGCTAACCTAGCCCTTGGAAGCAATATGCCTGTCTCAGCCTCCACACCCAGCTCCATTTCCACTGTTTACATATAGGTGGAAACATGTATGACCATGTTTAGGGGTTGAGAGGAACATATGGTACTGAGGATAGTGGCACTTTTTTTGGTCCTGGGAATCAAATTCAGGATCTTGCACTTACCAGGCAGGTGCATATGCTGCTGAGCTATCTCTCTAGCCTGGAAGCATATGTAACCATGAACTGTTTGCAATTCCAAGTATTGGTGTGTAATTATAAAAATAGTGGTATGATTGAGAAAAAGATGTACTCTGACTAAAGGAATGTGAAACTCCTTTAACAGAAATTGAGATAGTTATAAAAAGCAGAAAAAGCTATAGCAAGATTCTATCAGAGAACAGTTTCCCATCTTTCTAATGAAATACACATACAGCTGATAACATCCTCACAGAAAAGATTCTCATTCACTTTGCCTTGTGGGAGAGGCCAAGGGAAGCAGAATTTTCTCTTATCTGCTGGTTCTGGAGATACCATGGCTACATCCCTTGCCTTCTCACTATGTACAAGTTAGTGATGCAAAACTGCCTTAAATTCCTTTACTATGAGATGGGGGAAGCAAAAGTCTAATTTTTTGAAGTATCTCTCAGAAGAGAAACACACAAGCAGAAAAAAAGATCATTAAGTAGGTAGTGTGGGGTCAGTGAGATAGCTCAGCAGCCTACAGTGCTTACTTAGGCAAGCTTAGCAGGCACAGGGGACAGAGGTTCAGAGGTTCAATCCCTGGCACCACAAGCTATGCCAGCTCCGCCCTAAGGGTGGGCTGAGTCAGCCAAAAAAGGTAGTGTGATAAAATAATATATAATAGACTTCAGTGACCAAGGTTCCAGGGTCTGAGTGGTAATTATCAAAATGAAATAGTGATGAAATATGATTGAGAAAATGATGTCCTCTGACCAAGGGATATGTGTCCTCTAATTTCAGGGCAATGATATTTGTGACCTCAAATCATTCATGACACTAGAAAAATCACCTCCATTTGAAATCACTGCTTTCAAATAACTGTTTATGCAGTAGCTTAAAAGGTCAAATAAATTTACATAAAATAGTTGCTTATTTATAAAAGTGAAAGATAATACATATAAACCCATTTTACAATATTGGAGTGAGGATCAGAAGAAGATAGGGGTTTGGGGAAGAGTGGTCAACAGATATTTTATCTGAAATGTGTTCACAAAGGGAAATACCCAAATTCAAGAACACTATACTGTCATCAGTTGAGCTGTCTCTGAATCTCTGACCCTCACTTTTGGTTTTCCTAACCTTTCCTGGAGTGGTCACTGGCACAAGATAATAATCATCTTGGTTCTACTTGCTGTCAGGGTGTATCAACTTGCAACTTTGCAAAATGGCAGCTATAAATTCATTTATATTTGCTCTACCTGTTTAAGTTCCTGCTTGTGCACATCAGAGAATCACAGAAATGGAAAACAACCACTGTAAGTCACCTTTGAGGGAGTGGAAATTACTGAACCCATTTGACAGAGACCTCTTAGTGAGACAAGATGCTGGAAAACTATAGAAACTTGGCTTCTCTGGGACATCAGCTCAGCAAACCTACTTTGATTGCCCAGTTGGAACATGAAGAAGACCTGAAGACTAAGAAGCAAATACACCAAAATCCTTAATTCAGACGAGACAATTTTGCCATCAACCAACTAACCAACCACAACCTATCCAAGAGAGCTTGGAAAGAGAAAGATTCAGGGACGAATGTTTTGGAGTGTGCCTCAGTTCTACTAGTGCTGTAGTGACCCCATGAGGAACCCCTTTATCTACAGTCTGAGGAACAAAGATATGCTGGGGGCTTTGTGGAAACTCATCTCTACAGTAACATCTTCCCATTAATATGTCAGATGTATATACTACTGGAACAAATCAAGGAGAAAGAGATGATTAATAAAGGTTGACACATATTTTTGGAATATAGCAGATGAGAGAACACATGGTAGCAAATGAGAATTGTGAAATCTGACAACTTGGGTTTAAATTCTACATGTGATATAACATAGCTATGTGTTATGATTTAAATACACAAATCTACCACAAATTGACAATTTCATCATATAATTTTCAAAATTATATTCATTAATATCACCAATACATCAAAAGACCCCCCCCCAAAAAAAAAAAAAAAAAAAAAAAAAAAAACAACCCAGCTGGGTATGGTGGCACATGTCTATAATCCAAGCACTTGGGAGGAGGCTGAAGCATGAGGAGCACTGGGAGCTTGAGGCCAGCCTGGGCTACAAAGTGAGTTCAAGACCAGCCTGATCTGCATACTAAAATGGAGGGGGTGAGGTGAGGGGGGTGGGGATCTAAGTCTAATCTATGTCACACAGCTACTAAACTGGCAAGATTAGAATTTCAAGCTTTTCATCTCTAAAACTCAAAACTACTGATCAGAAAATAATTCCTTAGGGTTTACGGAAGTTGTTTTCATCCATGTCAGAACTGGCTAGAAGGCTTCTGAAAATGGATCCCCAGGCCTTTCCATCATGTTGGTCCTGGGCAGTATTGAAGCATCCATTCATATTTTAAAATGCTCCTCAGGTGATTTTCAGAGAGTTAAGTTGCAACTACTGACATAGGCAATAAAGGTTTTTGTCAGGTTGAAAAATCCCTCTAGGGCTGGGGATGTAGCTCAGCCATAGAGTACTTGCCTATTTGGCACAAAGGTCTGGGTTAAATTCCCAATACAGCCAGTCCCTCCACCAACAAACTACCTTGAGGTGTATCAAAAAAAGGCACAAGGGCCGGGGAGATAGCTCAATAGAATAAGCACTTGCCTGGCAAGCAGGGGTCCTGAGTTCAATCCCCAGTACCGCTAAAAAAAAAAAAAGGCACAAATGTGGAAGAGTAAGCCAGTGTTATAGTCACCTGCTTCAGTAAAGGGAAGCCAAAATTTTCAAGTTAGTGTTAAGTTTTAAATGGCTCACTAGCCATTTAACTTACTAGTTTTTATTTTATGAAGCTTATAAAAAGTCAGAAGAACTTCTGTAACATAAGAACTGTAAAAGTCACAACATGAAAGTGAAAGGAAGGCCATCAAGGAAAAAAAAATAATTAGAAAATACTGTACACTGGAAAGGGTCTCATTTGATTGGAAATGACAATCGCAGAAAATGGCTTCCTCTGGGAAATATTAATTAGTATGCTAGAATGTACCAGCATACTAAATTATAGTGAAAGGAAGACTGAATAAATGATCTGACCTCTAGACAACTGGGTAAACTAACAAACAAACTTTTTTTTTTTTTTTTTTGGCAGAACCGAGGATTGAACTCAGGCCCTTGCACTTGTCAGGCAAGCACTTATTCTACTAAGCTATCTCCCTGGCCCCTAAACTGACAAACTTCATGAATTAGTTTATACAACTACTTCCTGATTACCTGCTGATGCCAGCCTCTGTTCTAGGATTTAAGGTAAACAATGAGTAAGTTTTTGCTTTTCAGGAGCTTGTAAACCACACATTTGAAAAAGAGGCAGACAAAACAGGTCAGAATGTTGACCTGAAACAAAGGTTGCCTAAAACACCAATCATCCAACTTGAAAACAGTGTCATTTTTATCCATTTAAATATCTCATAATTCTAAAATCCAAAGCAAATGTCATTGTGAGAGGAACTGGGTGATTTGGGTGTGGTAGACCTAAACACTATTTAACTATCTAAAGGATGTCTTTCATTTAACTACCTACAATTGGACCTTTACTCAGCACAAAAAGCTGTATCATCTGCTGAAAGGGAGGCAAGTGATGTCTATTGAAAGCTGTAAGCAATCACAAACGTTATGAATTAACTGGTACAACTAGGCTGTGACAAGAAGTCCCAGCTAGGGGTACAATGTTTATGAGTTTTCGAAAACTCACAGGAGAACCCACTGCCTAGAATTTGAACAGCAGAGGGCGATGCAGCCAACTTTACAGAGTTTTACTGACTGGAGCCCCCCAGAAATGGACAAGTGGCCCAGTATAAGTTGAAACTTTCTCAGTGAATTTAGTGATTCTCAAGTGTGTCAAATGTTCAGGGCTGGACTCAAGTGTTTTCCACGACCTCTATTCTAGTCATGGCCGTTAAGGCTCTCTCGCGGATACTCTGACCTTACAGAGGGGGTGGAGAAGAGTGGGGGCGGGGTAGAAAGAATGAAATCAGCCTATCAGATTTTCCAAAAGAATGCTTCCCTTGGTTTTTGGAAAGAAGCTTAAAATTCAAAGGGGTGAGAGGTTCATTCCCAGGAAAGAAAACATGGTTCTTCTTCCCAGTGACATTGCTGATACACACTTTACAATATAGTTGGTGGGGGTGGGGAGGGTAAGAAAAAACTCGAATTTTATGGGTAACAGGGGCACCTTTCTCCTAAAAAACGTGCTCCAACAAAACTAGCCTTCACTCCTTAACTAAGTTTCTAAGTCTACGACCCAGGCCTCGCGCTCCGTCCTCCCCCAGGTACACACTCCTCACTCTCTGCCCTTCGCCCGGCCCCCGTTGTGGAACTCTCCCAGGCACGCCGGGTGCATGCCCCAAGAGTACGGAGCCCGGCGCGAGCAGCGCAGAGCTAAGGTCGGCGCTCTCGCTCCCCCCAAAGCTGCCCGTACCTGTCCAGCATCTGCTGTAGGGCTTGGTCCGGCATCTTCCGCAGAGCCGGCGCACTTGGCCCTGCCCAGGGGCCCGGTCGCGGCCAGGCCCGCCCAGGGACAATAGCACTGAGAGGCGGCGGAGTAGGCCTCAGCCCCGCGGCAGCCGCGAACCCGCCACCCAGCCGCCCGGGGAGGCTCAGCTAGGCCAGCGACGGTGATGCGTGGCCAGCGGTCGACCGGAGGAGGTGGGGAGCAGGGAGGAGGAGCCTGACGCGGGGAGGCGGCGATCTCGGGCCCTGTTCCTGCCCGTCGGCCCGGGGTTCCGGTCCATGTACCGCGGGCGCCGAGCTGCTGCCACCGGAGGAGCTACCTCTGTGAGGTAAGAGTCACCGCCTCCGTGCGCGCCGGGGTCACGACGCAAGCCGAGCCCAGAGCATCCTGGGAGATGTAGTCCTCGGCCCGTCCCCGCTAGAAGCCAGCCCGCCGGACCACCGCGGCCGCCCGGCCGGCGCCCTCCTGTTTCCTTCCTCCCGGGAGGAGAAAATGTCCTTCGGGTCGCTTTCCGGAAAGCAGCAGGATGTACCGCTCCACTGTCACTAGCAACAAGGTCGGCCCTTCTTGCCTGTTTCTTTACTCCTCCGTTCTTGCCTTCAGGTGGGACTGAGCCAGGTGAGGGGAGGGGGCTGAAGGGCCATTTCTGGTCCATGTCCGCAGCCCCGGCTGTGGCGTCGGGGCGGGCCGTGGCGGCGAGGAAGCCCCCGGCGGCGGAATCAGCCCCTTCCACGTCAGAACCCATTTTGGGGGCGTTACACAACCGGGGCAAAGGGTCGGATGCTTCGTGCCTTGAGGTTATTCCTGAGGGGGCGGAGGGGTAGGGGCTGCTTCACGGGACCGTTGCCACGAGCCTCAGGGTGTATTCGGAGGTAGGCGGTGGAGGGAGAAAAGATGCTTTTTTATCCTCTCTAAGAACCTTCTCAAATGAGCCTTCCATAGGGCTCGCCAACAGTCTCTAAATGGAACACGTTCGTGAATAAACAGCGCTTGCTTACTCAGCTGTGGGTTGTCAGGGATGTTTGTTTCTCTTTCTGCTACTGGGCTCTGTTAACCATTTCTTGTCTCCTTGACACCAAGCAGGTGGATGGAAGGTTGAGGGTACAGGTGTGGAATCAAAAGGGAGAAGTCATGAATCACTTATTGGGCTATTCTCTGACGCTCTAGGGATAGCTGTGGCGCAAGGAAAGAGCTGTTGACTAAAACGAGTGCGTAGTTTGGACCATCTGTGGCATTTGGATGAGCCGTGATTGGTAGGCTGTTTGGTAGTTATATCTGCTATACAATGTTTGATTTTTTTCTTTAAATAAAATGTGAGGGTTGTTGGGGGGAGATGGAGACAGTTTTGCCTAGGTACGGTACGAAATTCAGGTTGGTCTTGAATTCGCGGCACTCTTACCTCAGTATTCCTAGTACTAGGATTACAGGCGTGCACCTCCACAGCAGGCTGAAAATGTATTTTTAAAAATTCTTTTTAATGTAGAAGTTTATAGTCAGTTACTTGGTCAAAGTTTGCTCTCGGTGCCAGGAAGGAAGGGGGAAAGGAAGGAAGGGACTGATGGGTGGGTGGGTGAGTGGTGGATGGATAGATGGAAGGATGGATGGATAGACAGATAACATGACCAGAACTTTATTTGGTCCAATTTCTGAAATAGCTTGTATAAAAGCATACATTTTCCACATTCCACTTAGAGTGGAATGTGGTGGTGCATGCCTGTAATCCCAGCACACAGGAAGCTGATGCAGAAAGATCTCTGTGAGTTTGAGGCCAGTCTGAACTACATAGACTCAGGTAGGAGCTTTGGTGTACTATAATTAATATCTTTTGCTTAGGAAATGAGAAACACATCCATCTCATGAAAAGATTCTTTTGCTTCTTGTACTATGTAAGCCTTTTTCTGCTGTTTATCTCTTGAACAATTGTTAACCATATCTAAGGAGTTGTATATTGACATTCTGCTTAAAAATAGAATTTTATCTTAGTATATTGATTAGGCTAGTGAAAACTCCATTTTGCTTTATGGTTTACACCAATGGATCTCTCAATTTTTATACACTTTCTGTTGACCCTAAGTTGGAAAATATGATACAATTCTGTTAATGCAAAACCTTCTGCAGGTTGATCTTATTATAACAATAAATGGGTTTATATTTGCATGTTTATGAAAAGCCAGTTTTCTAGCTGTTTCAAAAACTTTGAAGTAGAAAACAATTCTGTTCATGGGAGGCTAAGAGTTTAGGTCAGTGGTAGGGTACTTTTTTTTTGAGACAAGTTCTTGCTATGCATTCAGGCTGTCCTTGACCCCCTACGATGGTCTTGAACTTGAAGCTATCCTCCTGTTTCAGCCTCCTAAGTGCTGGGTTTATAGGTATGCACCACCACACCCAGCAGTGGTAGAGTACTTTCTCCCATCCAAGTACTAATCAGGCCTGAGCTTGCTTAGCTTCCAAGATCAGATGAGATTGGACACCTTCAGGGTGGTATGGCCATAGACTAGAGTACTTTCTTAGTGTAGGTGAGCCCCTGGATTTGATCTACAGCACTGGGTGGGGGGAACTCAAGTGTTTAGCCCCTGGCAGTAATTTCAAGTCTGGGTATCCCTTAAGAGAATTGAAAACCTGTATCTACAGAAATATTTGTATGAGAAGGTTCATAGCACCAGTATTTTCTGTAAATCCATCTTATTTTTTTGGTACTGGGGATTGAACTCAGGACCTTGTGCTTGCCAGGCAGGCGCTTATGCCACTGAGCTATCTCCTCAGTGCCCAACAGCAGTATTTTCTAAATAAATAAATAGAAATAAAATGGGTATAGTTTATGGTACACAAGTTACATCTTCATAAAGCTGTTATAATTAGATCCATGGTGGCATATAATCCCAGCTATTCAGGAGGCTGAGGCAGGAGGATTGCAAATTCAAGGTCAACCTGAGCAATTTAGTGAGGCCCTGCCTCAAAATTTAAAAAGGCGGACTAGGGTTTTGGCTCAGCAGTGGAATGCTTGCCTGGCAAGCTGGAAGCCCTGGGTTTGGTCCTCAGCACCAAAAACAAAACAAAACAAAAAACCTCTCCTGAAAAGCAATTCAACTAAAATAATACAATAAAATCAAATTTTAATAAGGACTAGGTACGTAATTCAGTGATAGAGCATTTGCCTAGCATGCATAGGGAAGGCCCTGGGTTTAATACACAGGGCTGAAAAAAAAATCCGTGTAAAATGTTCACAAGAACATCTAAAGAGAATCCAAAAGGAAGTAGGTCCATGTAGCTGATATTTTCTATCAAATCTTGTGACTTTTTTCTTGTTTTTTTTCTGTAAGTAGTAACAAGTCATTATTGGTAAACTAATCCTTGCAATTAAAGTGACTGATATAGGGGGCGGGGAGATAGCTCAGTGGAATAAGCACTTGGTCTGGCAAGCGCAAGGACCTGAGTTCAATCCCCAGTTCTGAAAAAAAAAAAAAAAAGTGATTGATATACGTAGCTTAAATTTTAAATCGTGTGTCAAATTTGTTTTCTGTGGCTCTTGTATTTTCTGTTTTCTATTGAGACTAAAGATAATTAGGGAAAGTAATTTACTCTCTGGTTTTGAAGAAAGAAGTCTTAATTATTTAGAATTCAAAGGGAAAAAATGTTCAAAAGTACTTTGCCGTTTTATTTAAGTTTTAAAAATTCAATTTAAAAATTTTGTTTTGTGAGACAGGATCTTGATATGTAGTGCAGGCCAGCCATGAACTCACCTGTGCAGCACACACTGACTCACAGCAATCCTCCTGCCTCAGTCTCCTGAGCGCTGGGATTACAGGCATACACCACCACACCCAGAATTTCTCCATTTTATATAGGGTTAAAGATTTATGGTAAATGTTATTCAGTCAAGGGAGTAAGCACCATGTCTATAGTCAAAGAAATCAGGATCTCACTATGTAGTTTAGGTTGGCCTGGTGCTTAATACGTTGTGTCAACTGGCCTTGAACTGTCTACCCTTCTACTCCAGCCTCCTGAGTGTTGGGATTATCGGCATGCTCCTCCACACCCAGCAAAGATACAGCTTTATAGAAATTAATATAATAAAATACTTAATTTGTTTCAGTTTGTGAGGAAAAGAACAAGGATTAACAATGTAGATTTATCCTAAAGAGTTATAGAATGTTTTAACATTCAGTAATGGATTTAGAAATACTAAATGTGAACTGTTGTAAATATTTTAGGAAATTCAAAATAATTTATTTTAAACTGTTTACCAATAGGAGCCCTGCAGATATTTCCTAAAGAATATAGAGAAATAATATAAGATAGTAAGGTAACCTCCAAAGAGAACTGTCAATTATCAGATTCAGTCATAAACATCAGGCAGAGTCTTCAAAGCAAGCTGCAGAAAATTCTTCATTACTTCCATCAGCAGATTGTTTTAGGGAATTTATTATGTGCATGGGTGCTCTGGTAGCAAATAATCCACAACTTCCCTTAAAAGCCCTAAAATGATTATATTTAGAAAAATAAAACAAAGTACTTATATGTGAAATACTATACAATGATAACATGGCAGCATATGAAAAGGAGCCAAATGAATGGCATAGAAATAGAAATGTTAGAGCAATTCAGAGGAGACACCATTGTGGACTAGAATATTAAAGAGAACTTGTGATAGGGGAAATGGTTTTTACCTTGTAGCAAGAGAAGGAATTATATACATGAAGAGGTAGAAAACGTCTTGGGTCTGGATAAGATTGAAAAATGTAATGAGAAGAGTTAACTTCATTTTTTAAATCATTTATTTATTTATTTATTTATTTGGGTCTTGCTACACAGATTAGCTGGCACGGGGCTGCATGGCATGCAATACCAGGAATCAAACCCAGGTCCTTGCCCTTGCCAGGCAGGCACTTAGACTGCTGAGCTACCTCCCCAGCCCTAGAGGAATTAACTTCTGTAATTCAAACTGTAGGTCTCTGTTATGTAAACTGAAAATATGGTTGATTAAGGAATAATGGAAAGGCCTTGACCCTATTAATTCATTCAATCTATTAATCCATGTAAAGTAGCAGAGATAACAATGATGAGCAAAACCAAGCATAGCTGACCTTTGTAAAGTTTGTGCAAAGTTTACAGTACCGTAGTGGGAGAGAGCATTTTTTAAGTTGCAAATGTGCTACATAGTGTTATGAGAAATTATAATTAGGGACTCAATATAGTCAGAGAAGTCAGTGCAAGTTCCTAAGCAAGTGTCTAGTATATTAATACCTGAAAAAGAGCTGGCATTAACTAGATAAAGCAGTGAGGAAGAAACATCCCAGGGCAAAGAATTCCATGTACAAATTACTGTATAAATTAGGAAGGTCATGTGATGAAACTGAGAAACTAACAAAGAATGGATCTTAGGGCAGCATGAGACCAAAAATATCAATGAGAGACAAAATGGGAAGAAAAGAGCTTTGTAGGTCAATTTAATGAATTTTGCCTATGTCTTACGTAGGAGAGATGGAAATTGCTGGGAAATTGGAGGCGAGGTTAGGCATAAGAAATACATTCCAGGGTGAGCGACATAGCTCAGTG